CTCGAACGCGCCGGCACCGACAAATTCGACACTGCGAGCACGTTTCTCCCCGGTGGTATCGAATTCAACGCACGTTTTCATCGTTGACGCACGCTTAATTCGATCCAGTTTGCTTAGGAATCGTTCTCCTGTTGTTCTATCCAACGAAAAACCCGAGGTTTCGTCTTTGTACGTTCTTTCCCGCGCGAAACGCCTGCAGGTAAATCCTCATCAACCCCTAACGGACTCTTTTTTCCCTTTGTCCCTTGCGCGCGACAATGGCGGACTCGACAGCGATTATACGCTCGAAGGTAGAATCCGGATATTGTTAGCTTGATGTGTGCTGGATGTTTTAGAAAAATGATAACGAAGAACTGTGAGGTTTTATAGAATTTTAGGGTAAATCTTTTTCGGTGGGATGGTTTTGTACCTGTTAATAGACTATGGATCTTTGTAAATCTTGTGCCATGATAATTGGTAAAAAATCGAGAGCGTATTTATAGAAGAGCTTCCATTTTGCTAGAGCAAACGCTGTGTCTGTGGTTTGGGGGATCTATATATACTTTCGAATTCCTATTGCTTTGATGTAGCCTTTGAATAGAATTTTCTTGGATCTACGGGAAGATTAAGGGTAATCAATCTTTATAGAATAACTTAATTATTCGCTTTCTGTTGCATTGGCAAAGCTTTCTCAATGATACATGATTTCGACAAACTCTAATTTATCAGACAACACATTAGAAACCAATCTGAAGAAACTTAAAATCAATCAGTCTCTATATAATACCTTAATTATTCATTTTCAGTTGCAATAACAAAACTTTCTCAATGAATCACAATTTCGAAGAGCTTTAATGCGTCACATAACACATTAGAAAGCAACCTGAAGAAGCTCAAAATCAATCAGTCTCTATACAAACCTTAATTATTCATTTTCAGTTGCATTAACAAAGCTTTCTCAATGATTCATAATTTTGACGAGCTCTAATTCGTCGGACAACACATGAAAGTCTAATCCGAGTATCAAAACAATCCCACAGAACCTCCGCCCGCATGAGAACCCTTCGAAATCCCAGTTCCAAGGCCGCGTCAATACCATCGGCCACCCCCACCAACCTATTCCCTTCCCACGTTGCGCATGGCGTCCGTTCGTTCCATAGCCAGCCGCTGCGTATCGAGGTCGTGGAAGGGCCTGGTGTTTCGAAAGATCACGAGGTGCCCTCGTGCTAACCTACGTGACCGGCCCCTCGTACTCGTTACTAAACCCTTTTGCGCTCTTCAAACAGTACAGTTCTCAACTGTAGTCCTTAGAGACCAATCGACAATTCACGTACTTTTTCTATCGAAAACTGCTGATTTCTGCTTTTTCTATTAACAATTTATTTTCTATTAACCCTTTGAACTCTGTAGGTTCCAATAATGCACCAATTATGATATTAAACATTTTAATGAATCTTAAAGAAACTACTCTAAAATTATTAGATTTTCCGCATATCCAAATGTTGTACTAAGAAGGAAAATAAAAGATCGAAGAAATGTTATTAATAATAAAGATTGAAGAACACTATAAAAATTAGTCGCAGTTGCTGATAGATTACAAAATAACCTGGAGTGCTAAGGGTTAATATTCTATCTTCTATTTGCACTGGACAGTTTTTCACTAAGTATTCTACATTTTCTGACGACATAGGAACGATATTTTCGGAAACTTACTTAAATTCCACGTGAATTGAAGAACAAATCCGTTTCATTTCTATATCCCACATACTGATCATATAAAGATTAATGATAACTCTTCGCACTCGAGAGGCGACTTTTAGTCGCCAGTTGATTTGATACAGCAAAATTATAAATTTTTCTATTTACCATTAACCTTTGTATACTGCATCAATACGTGAAATACTGAAAGAAAATAGCTTTGGTACCTAATTTATGTATTTCTTGTTAAATTCATTTTAAAAAATTTTGTCTACATCTAATTAGAAAGTACAGAATACTTCAAGTGAAAAACTTTCAAGTGCAAGGGGTTAAATATCAAATTCCCAAGTCACCTTTCAAGCGCAAGTGTTAAGTCTGAGACTTTCCAAAACCTTCTGTACAACTAACTTTAGTAACAAGTACACTATGAATATTAATTCACTAATGGAAAAGCATCGTGCGTCTAATCTAATTATATTCTCAAAATAAATAAACCTCCGTAATAGTAATAACTTAGTCACCAAGTAACAAGTATCTCACACAATGTATTCCGATAAACATCTCCTATCAAACAATAATCCCATTTCCAAACCCCAAAAACCATATTTCGAATTTCCAATTCTCCATGAAATCCACCATTCCCCAACCGAATTTCCAAACATCAATTCGAACCGTTGAAGTCCAGTAACCCATAAACCAAAATTTCCGAAAACAAGCGCACAAGGGAACACCGGGCTGATTCTTAGCGCTGCAATTGGCGGCGCCACCCCTGTATCCCCGGTTAAGCGACCAATGGACTGTTCTCCGTTGCTTCGCGGTGACCGCCGTGAGGTCGCCACTCGACTAGTTCGCGTCGAACGTCCCGGCGCCGGCTCGCTGTTTCCTCCAGTCGTTGTTTGTGTGTTGCCCGGAACCGATCGCTGGAACACCAGCTCCAGACACGCAGTTGCAGCTCGCCGCGTCCCGTCGAACCCGTGGAGAAGTAATCCGTTGATCCGAAGTTCACCGAAGGATGGGCATATTCCGCGAGTTCCCAATCGTTTTCAATCTCTACAAGAAGTATAGTTAGACCAAGTGGACCGGGTTAGCAACAGAAGCGGAAGAGAGGAAAAAGAAGAGAAGCGGCGCGAAAGGGAGGGAGATTTTATATGACCGCTTACACCGGGTCCCTGTCCACCGTTCGCGTAAATACCCGGCCAAGGTGAGTCAACATCGTGGAACTTTCCGGTACGAAATTAAATCCCATCCCGTGGATCCCGTGCGCAGCACACGACCACAGTCAATTGGCCCGATGATGGACCCACACGGCAGACGCGCCGCCGCGCTTCCGTCCCATTAACCGGCGCGCACTCCGCTTCAGTTTTTTTCAATGCAACCCCTTCAATGTTTACCGTCAACGCGACGGCGATCGCTCGACGACAGCCGCGGGGACAACGGATCGATCGAGAAGTTTCTGCGGCGGTTTGCGCGTTTCGGTTGACTGCACCTTTTGAATTTGCGACGGGGGATGGAGCGGATGTTTGGGGTTTATAGGTGGGGATATTGTTTAGCTCTTTGAACTCTGTAGGCTCGAATATTTGCATCAGTTGTAATATTGAATATTTTAATGAATCCCTTTGCGGACGGAGGTTCTTCGAAATATACGAAACCTACGGTAGATGAAGTTAAATTATATATGGATTGCTTAATTAATAGGAAAAAACGAACCTATGTGCTCTCTTGCTGTTCCATTAATTAAATCATTCGTTGACTCGCTCTTCCAAATCTGAACACTTCATCGAAATGTCGACGTTCGTCCACAAGGGGTTAATACAAAATCATTTCCCTCAAACCCATAAGTATCACTCAATATCAAATCACTTACGCCTCTATACATCAAGATAATAAATAACAATCCAATAAACACTCTAATACAATTCTCAATCTACCAAATAAAAGGAAACAGTCTGCATTAATCATAGATAACAAATAATCATTGAAAACCCAAGTGAAACATTGATAATAATCCCTATTGCTTAAATAATAGAAAGAAAGGAAATTATACACTGATCCCTTGTTGTTTGAGTAATTGAATCATTTGTTTGCGACTTACTTTTCCAAATATGGAAATTTGATCTCGAAATGTCGACATTCGTAAAGGGTTGAAGAAACTACCCTAAAATTATTCGATTTTCCACATATCCGAATTTTGTACTAAGGAAGATAAAAGATCGAAGAAATATTATATTTCTAATTTTCGCTAGGGACACTATAAGAATTAGTTGCTGATAGATTACAAAACAACCTGGAGTGTTAAGGGTTAAGGTTCACTGGTCTCCGGTGACCGGAGCTTCAAAATTGTTTAAATACAATTACAATAAGAAAACTGATGTCGAATGGAAATACTTAGTAACACAAACAGATAGATGATAGTGTAACACGTAATACTAAGTCATTAATAATTATTTCTAATACCATTTGCCTTTGTTATGATAGAATATGTTACACGAAGCATTCGAAATTTTCGTGGCAGTCAACGTGTTAACGGCAGATTCGTGAATTTTTGTTTCGTAGTTTGCTTTATTGATAGTCGAAGGGTGGATGTTTGTTGATGGGAATTAGTGTTTCGAGAATAGAGTTGTAATGTGCGTTTGTATGATTGCACTAATTAACCCTTGCACTCGGAAGCTTTTCGCTAGACATTCGATACGTTCCTATGAGACGACACTATTCGAAAGGAAGTAATGAGAGAACATACGTGAATTAAGAAACAGAGCTATTTTATATGAATATTTCACGTATGGATGCGTTATACGAAACTTAATATTATATACAACACTTTGTAATTTTGTTATATCGAATCAAATGACTGAGAGTCACCTGCAAAGGGTTAAAATTGGTTCGAACTGTTTGGAAATAATGTTTGAGACATTCGATATCCGAATTGTCGACGGATTGATAAATTAGGGTTTCGAGAAAATTGAGTATTCGTATAATTGCACTGACGAAGATTGGTTTCAATTGTTAAGGAATAATGTTTAAGGAATTTAACCTTTTGCATTCCACAAATTTTTCACCGGAAATATTCAATATTTTCTAATGAGATACAGACGACATTTTCATAGATTGAATTAAGAAATCTCACACGCATTGAGGAAGAGAACTATTTTCTTTCAATATTTCGTACATTGATGCATTGTACAAAGTTTAATATTAAATATCAAAGTTTATAGTTTTGCTGTGTCGAATTATTTGGTGACTTAGAGGAACCTCTGGAGTGCAAAGGGTTAATATTAAATTGATGGGTTTCGTGAATCTAGCGTTAAAAGTTTGACAAAGATACTATGGAAAAGAAGTATGTATGATAATTTGTTGTTATTTGGGACGAGAGTTTTTGAAAGTGTTTGGAAGGTTCAGTAAGAAATTGGAGGAAGAGAATTTTGTATTGGTTTCTTGTTATTTGAATAATTATACCATTCGATCGCACGTGGTTTCGATTATACGCGGGCAACGGGTTCGTCGATTATTATGAGTTCAGGGCGATCCGTGTCTGACGAACTTTGTACCGTTTCGACGTTGTGATGATCGTTTTTTGGGGCTACTTCTTTGCCCTGATTGTTTTAATAACAGAGCCGAGGTAGACACTCTGTTGTTTTCTGGAAATGATTTGCGTAGTTGGGAATGTCAGGACGAGTGTTTTTGATAGGGCGAATCGATTGTTTGGTTGAGTTAAAGGACAGATTTCTTTGGTATACTGTTACAAGATATTGTGTATTGATATCTACCTGTTATTAACGGTTGAAAGCAATTATCTATTGTAGTTTGCCTTTAAGAACTTTTAACATACTAGAAATATTGTATTTCGAGACTAGTATCAGTATTGTGAATAATAGCACGAAAGACATTCAACAATTTTGGAGTAATGATTCAAATATTTGAGTAACCATATAAAGAACTTTTAACATACTAGAAATATTGTATTTCGAGACTAGTATCAGTATTGTGAATAATAGCGCGAAAGAGATTTAACAATTTTGGAGTAATGATCTAAATCTCGTAATAATGATTCAAATATTTGAGTAACCATCTAAATTTCTGAGTAATCATCTACATATCTGAGTAATCATCTAACTTTCAAAGTAATCTATCTAAATCCTACCAAAGTCAATGTCAAATTCCGCATCCACCACCCAAAACCATCGCGATTCACTCGACAGATTCATCGAAGACCTCGCGAAGCATCAAACCTGATCGCGGAAAAACAGGATATACCAAATAAAGCCAGCAATGGCTACAATCACCAGCAATCCAGATCGAAGGATATTGGCTAGAACGAAGGCCTCATGCTCCAGCTCGTTTTTACCGCGTTTTCCAGAAACCGCGTCCCTTAGACGGGTTTAATTGCCAGCGGAGACAGGTCCGTCGTCTCGGCGATTGATCAAATAAGGCTGAAGGGTTCTTCGACGTTTCTTGCGGCAAAGGCTCGTCGGAATCCGCTCGATCGTATAGTCTTGGGCTTCCCGGGAAGTTTGCTATTCCTGTTCCACCTGACCCGCCACCGCGCACATGGCTGCGGCGTGCTAGAGACCAGTCCCCCTCGAGCTCTGCGTAGCATCTCCTCTAAACGACGTTACTATAATTCGCGTTGATCAGCGGGAACACGGGGACACTCGTCGCGAGTATATTACTATCAGCCGGACCGGTCGTGAGCGTGTCATAAAGGTCTTGTCACTGGGAAACGGTGCATCTCGCGTACACGCGATCTTGATTCGCTTGGAATCTTGATAAACGCTCTAGTTGTCGCAGAAAGACAGCAGTTTCCGTGATCTTCTGGTTATTCTTTAGTTGTTCGTCGGTTGTCAATCGTACCAGTGGTTTCTGAAGATTCTTAGAGTTAAAAAGAGAGTTTGACTTCTCAGAGGTGAGGACTATTTGAATGCATGGCTCGATTCGCTTGGAATCTTGATAAACTCTCTAGTAATCGCAGAAAGACAGCAGTTTCTGTGATCTTCTGGTTATTCGGTAGTTGTTCGTCGGTTTTCAAATGTACCAGTGGTTTCTAGAGACTCGTAGAGTTAAACAGAGAGTTTGACTTGTTAGAGGTGAAGACTATTTGAATACACGGCTCGATTCGCGCTATACAGCTCGAGATTCGACCGAAAGCGAGGCGCCGTTCGAGTGTTAATCTCGGGTCGCCCGGGCTATCGTGCTGGTTCTTTTTCTTTTCATTTCCTTTTTTTCTACGGAGCTTCGTCGAACGTGAAAGTTAGTCTGTGTTCAGTGCTGATCGAAACGCTTCTTCGTCGTCCTCGAAATCATCAATGCCCCTGCACTGATTCCGGTAGGTCTTCATAGTGGATGCAGTTTCTCTCCGAGTTGCTGATTGTATGCTTGAGTTTGTCGATCCTTGGGAGAACGAGGGTGTGTTTGTTAATAGAGTTAAGTCGTGGAATACTGAATATATAAAATTATTTCCTTCGTTGTGCCTTGAACATCCGTGTCGAGAAATCCAATTGAAATTATTTCTGAGAAGGAACGACGGGTAAACGATCGCGTACGCTAAGTTACTTTTCTCGTCTGGAACACTAAAAAAAGAAAGATTGCGTATCACCCAGCATGTTTTCAAGAAACAAACAAGCGAAATTCAATTAACAACAGAAGTAACTGATGAAATATCAACCTTTCATTCCCGAAAACCTCAGGCTATCGCCAAATGAGTCACCGTCCGATTATTCTAAAAGATAAACCTCTGTTTTCAGAAGGAATCAATAGCCACCGCACATCCAGGACAGAGCCTGAACAATCCCAGGAACACCAACAAAGAACCATCAGCAACCGAGTCTCGATATCACCACACGCAAACCGACAGCATGTCGAACGTGTCCGGCATAATGGAGTCAGAGGACGTCGTTCGCAAAGAGACTCTTGTTCGTCGTGTCTCGAACATCCTAAAAGGTGGGAGTTCCATTCAACCGATAACCTCGTCACTACCGAGTGACGTAACCCCCGCGATAACCAGTGTTTCCGACACGCGAATAATACGAAAACGAATGAAAAAACCGGAAAAATTTATTTCGCAGACGGCAGCAACAGCGGGCCGCCATTGCTGTTTCGTCACGCGTCGATGCAGAGGATCCGCCATTGCTGTCAGAATCTCAACCTGTTCCCGTATCTCCTCTACTCGGTGGACAACTCCAAGTCTCACCCGATCCCGAGGAAGGTTCACGTTTGCCTGGGCCAGCTACTGCGAGTGATCGTGGCCAGAGTCTTCCACATTTACCAGCAACTCCGACACAGCCTTCTCCGCGGCATCCAGTCCGATGACTTCCAATCGAAGCAGACCACGCAGACCGACGACGTTCCGAAGCCTCCAGTGAAGTTCCAGAGGGTCGTGCGAAGGAAACCCAAGCAAAGCTGTTCGTTGTACCTAACGTTAGCCATCTACCTGGCGCCGCTTGTGCTGTTCTGCCAGTTGATAGGACTGTTCAGCATAATGGTAGTTGGCAAGTACACACCGGGATTCATCTTCTTAACGTCAGCACTGCTGTTCCTCGGCTGCATCTCGCTGAAGATAATGTTCTACGAGAGCACGCCCAGGACCGCCAAACACAAGAAGGACAAAGCGCTGTGATCATGCACTTGATGATCGCGATCGATCAGATAAATCGTGTAGCCGGCCGATTCGACTATAGTATTTCGGAGTATCTTCTGATGTTCTAGGCTCACTGTAGTCTGCTATTCGCGAGAGGAATGTAAGAGTTTATATAAGACGTTGAGGTATTCGAGTTTTAGAGAGATGGAATATTCATTCGGAGAGGATCTTGGGGTACTGGACAATAGGGTATTGCAGGGAGTTTTGTTGTTCTTTGTAGAGTGGAGCTGAAATCTTGGATTCGGAGGTTTTCAGAGATTGGGAGCTGGGTAAAAGAGAATTAGAATTCTCGCGTTAATGAGTTCGCGGCAGGTTGACGGTAGTTTAAGGATTGTTGAGATGTCTTGAATAATTAAAGTAGATCGCAGCGTTAATAGAATTACACATTATCCTCGTTCTCTTCGGAAAGCAGGCTACAGTTGACCGGTAGGACGCTCGCGAACGATAGACAATTTCTAGAGCTAGCCATCGTCATCCGTTTCTCGATAGCTTCGTAGTTAGGTTACCGGCCGAGGCCTCTTGCGCAATGAAGCGAGGTACTCGCAATCGGATCGCGGATCTTTATGCAGCGGAAAGCGCAGGAACATCGTCGAAGTTCGAAACGTCAAGGTTATTTCACTCGTATCGCTCCCCTGAAATTCATTGACTGCGGGAACGATGCGTAATCGATTCGAATTCCGCTGAATCAACTTCCGAGCACGCGAATGCATAAACATCGTCGGTCTAGTCACGATATTAGCGAGTCGACGTTCGAATTTTCTGATATCGAGGGTCTGGAATGAATTGCGCGAGAGACGACCTGTCAGTTCCTGCGGGTTCCAACGTTCTTCGGTTCTTTTCCGTTCTTCCTTGTTTCTTTTTGTTTTTCTTTGCGAATCGCGCGTCGGGTCGTAGCAACACGTTTTAGAGGATAGGAGAGGATGCGCGGACGCGACTGCGAGGATAGCTTCTACGGTGGAAACAGACGAGACGAACGGGTTCCCATAATCGTACACGTTCCCCCTGCAACCAGTAGACCAGTTGTAATGTCGAACGTTCGGTTTCTACCTTTATTTCGCTAGGAAGTAAAGCTGAACCCCGAGAATCGCAATTATCCGAGGACACGCGGAACAGCAATCTCCAGGGAGTTGTCTAAACGAGGTCGCGGCAACGACCAATCCTCTGCAGCAGAAGACTGAGAATTTGTTTTTAAAAAAACTTGTTTTTCCCCTCCCTCCCCACCCCACCTCCCGTTGTTTTCCTTTTTCTCTTTTTCTTTGTACATAATGAATAGGGACGAGTGAAAGATAGAAATCGCGCGCGTAGGGATAAAAGAGGAAATATATATTATATATATTATAAATATATAGATATACGAAAACGCGAGAAGAGGATTATTCTCTGTATGTCATTCACACTTACACATTTACACACGTGCATTCACACAAACACACACACGTTCATACACACACGCGTACACAGAGTCTTTCGACCGCCATTTAGAAGAGGACTTGGTGCGTCCACTGAACGAGTTAGGCTAATCTGTGATGAAGTGGAGCCAAGTTGTATTTTTAACGGCCACTTGATGTCCCACTTACTTAAGTACGATAAGGATACATGTGTAACATCGTCAAACTTCTTTTTTAAATATACGTTAATTACAACGAAACGTCGTCTTTAATCAATACTGCTTGTACCCGCAGGTTAGCCCGTGTAACACCGGAAACGGAGGAATTCTCTTGGCAAGATCATCGAGCGTCACAAAAATTACCGAAATTAACCTATCACCCGTGTCCAATAACGATCCAGTCATTCCTCCCGAGATAATTGCCGAACAGCAACCGATCACGCTCATTAACCCATTCTCCTCCATCATCTCCAATCAGAGATTTCCGTCATTCCTGATATCCCACGATCATCGCGTGGTTCCAGTGACCGCACGAGATCTCGTTACATAATACTAAAGTCAACTGTTCATAATACGTAATACTCTAATTAGCGTAAGATCAATTTTCTAAGGACACTAAGATCTCAGACTTCCGACAGGTGAAGCTTTAGCTACTCAAACTCCGCTAGCAACGGACAGTCCTAAGTAGGTCTAAAGATTACACATCATGCATACACCAAGTTACCTAGTTCCCTACACACCAAGGAAAGTGAATATCATTTAGGAAGAAATTCTTTTCGATCGGAACCAGAGCAAGTCTAGCCAATCGTCCGGAGCTGTTCGTGTTCAGCGTTTCGTCTATATCTGTCTAGCTGCGAGCATCAGGCAGCAATGCAAAGAGACCAGCGTCAACACGCTGTAACCGACAATTGTCCCGGCGTTCGTCTGCTTCAGCTTTATGTCAGCCACGTGGGATATCACCTGCGCGACGTAGCTCTGCTCGTGCACGCTGTGGAAGAGATGCGCCATGGGGCCTACGCAATGAACGTTCGACAGATAATTATCGTGATCAACCGAACTCGGTTGAGTCATTGTTCGTGTATATACTTCGTAAATACCTATTGCATACACGGCTACGTCACCGCCGCCATGATAAGCCTCATCCGTCACAATGCCCGCTTGCTGGCTGTACGTGAACGCTGTCGTGTTCTCCTTGCTAGGGTCTTTCCTCCGGGTATTGTTCTTGTCCACGATATACGCGGTATTGTTCGGGCCTCCGGTGCTGTAAGTCAGCGTCGTGTACGGGATATGATCGGTTTTCGATTTCTGAGCGATTCCTGCAATGATTCGTCGTCAATTTACTTCGAGGACAGTCGACGTTGTCGTAAATTTCAGGTATTACTTGATCGGTTTCTGTAATTTCTCAGAGATACTCGTACCTCTTCAGTAATCGGAAAAATCAAGGAATGGGTCATTTTGACCCATTTGGTAGTTCTAGTGTTGACCAGTTAACTGTGTTTGACGAGTATACACGTCATCGTAGAGCTTGACACGATACCAATTCTTTCAGCGATGAATTCTTTATTTTCTCACATAAACATGTAATTTTCCTTTGTTTCGCTTTCATCTATCATTAACCGTTTGAGTCCTGAGCGTTATAGCGCTCTTGTGTTGTGCCAAAATTGAGAGCGCGGGGGAGCTTCTGTTTATCAGTATCAATTATAATTTTCTTACTATATTCCTCAAGAAATAAATCAAAGTAACTTTATTTGAATAAACGTTATTTTTTGATATTTTTTTTGTGATAACACAATACTTGTGATCTCATTAGATAAGTATTCTTATCAATTTTTTTGCATATACCCAATCACTTCATTTTTGGCAAATATCCACAAAAGTTGTTTAGCATCCAAACGGTTAACACTAGGTTTACGGACGTTTATTGTCCAGTTTATTCTATTGTCCCTAGAAAAATTGATGTTCGACCATTTAGATCTTGGAAATTAGGGATTTAAAATTCTTGTAACTGCATCAACCAAAACCGACATAAACGTTTGCCAAATAATGTTTATAAATTCAGTATGCGTCAAATCGACGCACTCCGTAAACCTAGTGTTAAAATATACTCTACGTGCATTCGTCCTGCGTTCGAGTACACGTTCCATTTTTCGATTGTATCGCGCGCGGAGCGAGAGGTTTTTCCAACTAAATTTCACAGTTAACTGGTTAAGAGATCAGTGTGTCGATGCTGGAAGGACGATCTCTAAGCTAAATATACCTAGAATGTTGGAGCCCCGATCGCTGTACCCGTTGAAGCTCATCGAGTGGGTATGATCGCTGGTTACGATAACCAGCGTATCGTCAGTGTTGATCATCTTCAAGGTCGCGTTTATAGCGTCTGAGAACCTGACGGTCTCTAACAGTGCCTGTGCCGCGTGGCCTCTGTGATGAGCGAAATCGATGAGTCCTCCTTCCACCTGGAAATGAACTTACATGCAGTTTCTTATAAGATAAATCATTCTTCTCTTCGATCGGGGATCAATACCACTAGCAAGTAACCGTGTTTCGATCTCTGCAAGATCTTCAACGCGGCTACCGTCATCTGCTCGAGACTCGGTTGCCCTTTTGGACCCTTCTCCCTGTTCCAGTCCATGCTGATGTGGCCGTTCGCGAAAACCCCTAACACGTAGTCCACTTTCTTAGTGTCCAGCTTGAGCAGCTGCTCGTTGTTCTCAACAACGCTGTGCGACAGTTTCCTGGACGCTTTATCCTTCTTCCATTCTTCGATCAAGTTTCGCCCGTCTTGTCTAGCGCCAGCCCAGGTGTCTATGGGGTCAAACTCGGTGCCCGTCGCGTTGCTCTTCATCATCTGTCTACCTCCTCCCATGATCACCTATGCGTAAAAGTGTCTTTAGTCTACTTTCGAGTCGTATCCGTCTTGGAAAATCTATATTCCTATTCCTGTACAATAAAGTATTATTCACGCGAATTTTACAATAGTTTCCAATCGATAAGATAAAGCTTCGTAGTCTGATTTAAAGGAATCCTCTGATCTAAGGATTAAACTTTCTGCGTCTTTAGATAGCTACTTAATCCCCTAAAGCATAACAATTGAATCATCTCTAAGCTAATTAACACCTTGACTGCTCCGGCCACTGATGATCGAAGCTTTGAAATTACAAGAAAATGACTTGGAAGATAATTGATCTCGAATGCAAATTTTCCGTAACGTACATAACCACAATATAAGAATTTTCATATCAAAGAATTAATCATTCTTGCCATATATCTTTGCTAGAAAGAAGTGATACCTAAAACGCTGTTTTTCATAACAGTCAACGTTTTAAAAATTGTTCTAACCCTTTGTACTCGAGAGGCGACTCAGTCACCACTTTATTCGATACAGCAAAACCAAGAAGTTGAATATTTAGTATTTTAAATTAAACTTTGTACTGCTATGTGAAACATTGAAATAAAATAACTTTATTGCCTAATTTATCTGTGAATTATTGTCAAAATCAGTTTCAAACCGAATATTTCCTCAAAAGCTTTCGAGTGCAAAGGGTTAACCCCTTGTCCTACAACAACGAGTGAGACTCGTGATGAAGACTTTCAACATGATTCAGCAAATACATATATTACTCGGTTCATTCGAATTCAAAGTAAATATGACTCCTCTGTAATTAACTATTATACTTAAATGAAGATATAGGCATAACATATGTTTAGAATTTTTCTCTTTTTTCAATAAATTATTAATGACAAAGTGACCGTATCGATCAGAGTTCAGAAAGAAATCAGAGGCCAAGGGGTTAAAGTGTATCTAACGGAACATTGCATTTTGCCTTAATATTCTTCCCCGGAAGGTCTTCCACCAGCTGCCTCGCGATGTCCTTGCACTGGGTGGCGTTCTTAGGCATCCTAGACTCGCATTCCCACCTCCTGTCGGCAGCGTGTGCATACAAAGGCGCGGGAGTAGCGTGTGTGATCCTGGTGGTGGTCACGAATCCTGTAAATTCCGGGAAATCAATCAGTGGACAGCCGTCGCGTCTTCCGTACCTGGCGTCGGTGTCTTTGATGCTGACCTGTGTCTTTACCGGCGGCCTGCGCCCACGAGATGATCGAGTCCACGTGGTGGTCGGTATTCAAGCTCGCAGTACAATCGCCGAGCGGTACATTCGCGTTCAGCCCGACCACCTCGTAATTCGTTTTCACGCCGCCGAACAAAGCGGTTGCGGTGGACGCCGAGTCCGGCACCTGTTTGTTCACGTTGTACGTCTGCCGCAACGATGAATCATTATAATTCGACTCTTCGATCTAACGTGGATTCTTAACACTGGGTTTACGGGCATTTATTGTACAGTTTATTCTATTGTTCCTGGGGAAGTTGATATTCGTTCATTTAGATTTTGCAAATTGTAGATGTAGAAATAGACAATCAGGATTCATATTCGTGTAATTGAATCAACGAAAACCGATTGAAACATTTACCAAATAATGTTTATAAAATTCAATCTGCGTCAAATTGACGCGTTCCGTAAACCTAGTGTTAAATACGTACAGCTCGCGAAATGTACAGTTTTCAATTCCAAAGATCATGAATTAGAATGAGACTCTTTGTTAGTGTAGATAACGTTATCAGGCTGCGGATCTTACGCAAACAATGAGTTTGTCTACATTCGTCGCTTCTTTCTTCGAAGTTGATTGGAAAGAGAATTCAGTTGAATATTCTACTGTGCCGGTATTAGAATAAAGAGACCATTATGCAGATGCGCGTAAAATTCGCAGCGATAACGGGATTGATGACGACTGCAACTCTCGTTGCGAGAACTGTCGCATAATCGGATTCCTAGGAAAGTTTCTGACTCATAATGCGAGGAGTAATTTTGGAGGATGAAGTTAGATATTGAAATTTCACATAGCGGATCTCGAACGAGGCGGTGTTCGCATCGCGACGATCGTTAAAGTATGGAAGATTTGTAGCGTTCGGAACCTTCAGTATTCCTATATGGGGGAATTTCTCCCAGGCGAGGTAACTGGTCTCGCCAGCCAGGTAGATCCTGCTGGCGGTGATGGTGTCGGGGCTCATACCGTCGCCCACGAAGACGATTACGTTCTTCGCCTTGTTCCCGTTCCATTTATAAGACAGAGCCTCCTGTAGCTCCTCCATAGCTAATTTACGCCAATGTTTAGTGTCTGCGTAACGAAGAGCTCTGGGTTAACTATATGCGGCTTTTATCGCGAGCCGCGCGGCCGGTCTTCGTGTCAACGAAGCGTCGGCACGGGCAACGGCTCAAGGAAATTCAGACAATTCGAAACAGACTGCGGATAAATATGCGTTCGTGGCTCATAACCTAAAACACTTGACAAGCTGCGATATTTAAATAAACGCGAACGACGCACGCGTGACGGACAGCAGGTGAAACTTGAATACAAGAAACGACGGTTTAAGAGACGATTGAAAATCGTGTATGCAACGGCGGAGCTGCATAAACATCCGCAATCTGGTGATTAGCAATTGGAGTGTATGGAAATGACTAACTGATAAGGATCCCCAGCCGGTTTTACGTTTCCCATTGGAATGAATGAGCGAGTATCATAAGTATGCTCGTTCCAGGTGAAACGACGACGTTTATTGACGTGTACAGGTGAAATAAATCGGTGACATTATCGTCGGGGACCGGCGATGGTTTCGTTGATGATCGCAGAGGGCCGACGACAACCACACAACACATGCATGAGTCGATGATTTCGGTGTTATACCTTCGTTGATCGCGGCGTTCGCCGCTCCGATCGCGAACAGGACGATGTGCAACACGCCGAGCCCCATTTCTCATAGATCACCGGTCGTGCCTGACGGTGCTCGCTTGTCACGGCGATGTTGATAACGAGTTAGGCTACACACAACTGAAAGGAAAACCGAAGACCCCTGTCGACGCTTATCTGATGTTGCCTAATCACGCTCTCTACTGTAAGCCAGATCGCGTCGATAAGTCGGCTCCCTGGGACGGATCGTACCGACCGAGCAGCAGCGATCTATGGGACAAATGGGCGGGGCTTGCTCGTCTTTATTTCGAGTAAAACGAAAATTGAAAGGAGAAGCGGGAGGATCGTTTTGAACGTGGATTCTCGGTGTTCGGAGCGTAGAAATGTTTGTGGGAAGGTTCGAAGCGTGAACGATGAATAAATGAGTCAGCAAGAAATGAAGATACGCAAGCGAAGGTAGCGTACGGGGTTTAGCTAACATTCATTGTAACGTTTTATTTGATTCTTGTTCATATTCACTGTCTGTTCGTACAGATCGTAACACATCGCGTAATACAATTTTCGTAGAAGAATCGTCTCTCCGCCTCTCCGTTTGTTCGACGTTTTTAAACAAAACTACTAAAAATAGACTCGATAAAATCAACTGTTCAAGTCCGTTCCGCGCGATCGATCCTCTTCGGTGACGAAAAAACCAGAGGAAACGCGTCGCCGATCGTCCCCGTGGTCGTCGGGCGTCCACGACACGCTAAGAACGTTCCTCTCACCGTCGATCGTCTACTTTCTTCCGAATTACCCGCGGAGGATCCACGGGAAACCGCCCGATCGCGTTTTATCGAACGACGGAAGCGATCGCTGCCGTTTTATCACATTGGATGCCGAGTTTTGATTATTGAACACGCGTCGGGCCTCCCCTTTTTAGACGGATCCTTCGAGGATGCGAAATTATCCTTGTCACGCTTCCGCCTTGAACTACTATAGAACGTTCCTTCGAATTTGCAGATTTAGATGAACTTCCAAATTATATTTCGATCGATTCGATTAGCTTCGTTCATTTCTATTCTTTCATCTCGACGTTTCCTACCTTTCCATTTCAATCCATTGTTCAATTATTAAAATAAAAAAGTAACAATGAACATGAGCGGTACCTAAAATTGTCTACAACAGGATACTAACGTAAGTTCGAACGTCTATAGTAGCTAAGGACTAGCCGAATTCAAGCGACGACATCGACCACCGTCTGCCGACGAAACCGTCGAGTTCGTTCGTTCGAGTTCGCTTTTTAAAAAACTACTTAGGCGTCAGCATTATGGGTTCCGAGTTCTTGGGCCAATAAGATCCGGTGGTACGCTGCACGACGAATTTTCATGTTCCCGTGCACGACAAACTAAGAGTATGCTCTGAGCCGGGCCACTCGAGGGCTTCTCAAACGACCGTACAAACGCGAACTCATCATCACGGCAATCGTTACGCGAGTATTACGCTGGAACGCGGCACGATCTCTCGTGCCTGCTGCTGCGACTGACTGTCCCAACTCCTTAAGACCCGGCGTTTCCATTGCCTCGACACGGTTCATTCATCTTTTACATGGTTCCCGGTCTCTCTCTCCCTTCGAAAAAGAAGTGCACTCGGTTGATCGTAGAAGTGGAAGAACTCGAGTGGACGATCGTACGGAATGTCTTTCACGATCAAGATCACTGGATCTTTGTTAGAACTGTTCTTCATCTACTTAGAATGATCCTTCAACTTCTCCTCGAAGAGAACAAGCGCACTCGAGCGGGCGAGACACTCGAAGCCCAGTCTAAATAGATGAAAGTTTGAGCCAAGTCATCCTTCGGAATGATCGACATTGACGCGAATTCGTCGGTGCCGTGTTTCGTCCACGCCTACGACGTCCGTGTCGCTTCTTCTGCAAAGAAAAATGTTCATTAGATCGATCAACGGACTCCCCGAATCGAAGAATCCACGTGGAACCAGGTTGAAGTAGACGGAACAGTCGGCCGCATTTCTTAGCTTAGGAAAGAAACATCGCTATCATAGAACTCTCGCTGTGACAATTGGCCTAATATAAACTCTCTACAAATCTCACTTACACGATAAAGTACAATAAAGTTGTTCTCCGTACGCATTAACACGATACACGCCGTATATCGATTCACAGACGCCGCTCGATCGTTCTCCCGCTTCGGTTGCTCGCAGCTCGTCTCCCCTAAGTCGCGTATTATTGCCAACGGTTTAGTGTCTTTGGTATATGTTCGTTCGTTCCCTCGCCGATCAACCGTTTTCCTCCTATCTATAGAGCTTTCCCTATACAGCTGTACAGCTTTTCCTAGCTTCCCAATGACCTGTTCCATTTTAGCGTGGCTATGGCTGCGTGCCTATGATCTTCGATGCTAATTATGTCCGTTTTGAGACCGGTTGTTACAGTTTGTTCGTTTTCTGGGTAGTTTCGCGGCGAATGCAAAGACGTGGAAGCGTCTTCGTTCACCTGGGGGACGAGCACCCAGCAGTTTCAGGGTATTCCTCTATTTTTAACTGACCCGGTGACCAAGTAGAATATTCCTTACTGGCCAGACACTTGGAGCATAGGCAACGGTATGCCGGTTCTCACCGTTAACCTTAAAAACTCGGAATATTTAGAGCTTCAAGGGGACTGAGCAGTGGGGAATACTTTGTTTTCTAATGTTCTAAATAGAAGGAATCGAGTAGTTTTTTGATATATCTCGTGACAAACGAGCTGAACGGGGCTCTCCGTTCTCTGTTTTACGGCCGAGCTTCGATAACGCCAATGGCAAGCCAACGAATCGTGGAAATAATGTTTCCTACAGACATAAATAACATCCGGAAGCCTAGACTACAACCAGGTCGCAAGAAATTCGCCGCTATGTCCGCCTTCCCACCTGTCAACCACTTTACACACAACCTGCTGCCTTAAGCCGCGTGTACGCTTCAAAGGAACTCTTCAACCCTTTGCACTTGGATGTTTCTTAATAGAAATATTTAACATTTCTTTACGAAGACGATGTTCTTTGAGACTAATTCGAAGAAAAATCACCAGTACATTGAGGAACAAAGCTGTTTTATTCCAATGTTTCACGCATCGAGGCATTATACGTAGTTTAACGTTAAATATCACATTCTATAGTTTCACTGTGTCAAATTAAACGGTGACTTGAGTCACCTCTCGAGTGCAAAGGGTTAGAATGTCTTTCGTTTACAGTCCGATCTTCTTATTCGTTCAACGCGTGAACAGTGAATACTGGAGCATTGAGGTATTGGTAGGGTTCTAGTTCTTAATGTTGATTAAGAATGTTATCGATGAAATGAACATAGAAATTAATAGTTGTAAATTATATACACAATTTATGTAGTCAAGAATATAAATGCATACGACATAGTTGGAGAATATTAAATTGAATATTAACCACTTGCGCTGGAAAAAGACGTTTCTATCCCAAAGTTCTCAATGATGTCTTTTACACATTGATAATCTTGTTGCATTACTATTAGATTACTTCGAAATGTATCACTCTATACAGAATAATTAACAAACAAAATAAGTGTACAGCATAAAATAGATAAAAACAAAATTCATCGCAGGAGACTTTGCCAAATTTCTGAATTCATTTCCAGCGCAAGTGGTTAATAGAAAGTTACGTAGAAAAATTGCTGGCAAAGGGTTAACGCGAGCGATTGAACGTGAACGTGCTCCTCGAGTGTATACACGGCTTAAGGGGCATACCGCGCGTGTTGCACCGGGTGTATGCATAGCTGCAACCGAGACAGCGTATCGGGGAAGCGTGCTAAACATAATGCAGACCTTGCGCGGCCAGTTCCTCGCTGCCAAGCCACGATAATAGTAGTCACGTCGGCCGTGAAAGCCTCGAGACACCGAACATTCGTGTCGCTCCGTTCAATTTATACCGCCTCGCCATATTTTTTCGAGTTTCTGGCCACGTGTGCTCGGCGTACACACGCGCGCGCACGTACAGACACGATAAAATTGACTTCGCGATTGCAGAAAACTCAACTCTCGCTCTCTTCCCACTCACTCGGCCAATCTCCGTGCGATTTTTCCTCTTTCCTCGACGAACCAGCAGTGACTCGATTGATTGTGCACAATCGTTCACGAGATAACAGTTACAATAATGAAAAAAGTACCGTTACACTTGTTCAGAATGAAAAGGATGATTTCCAGTGAACAATAGTGAGTCACTGTAACCGAGTCATTTCAAAATTCTCCGTGTCTCCTTCGAAACTTCCCTTGGCGTTCCTCTGTTTAATTCTGAGAACATTCTATTAACGTTCTATGGGGTTCCTTCTCTTAATCGACAAACAGAACGCTCTAATATCGCTGGAAGCTGCAGTATCCTCTTTCGCGGACCCGTAGACGGGCCCGTAGGCGTCGGCAGAACTTCCTCGAACATCGTCGAACTTCCTCGAACGTCCGTTAATTATGTACAGTAGGCAAGTATTCCAGATCTCGCGAATAAAAACGGATTGCTCGATGACAGAACAAGTCGGAAAACGTTCGAAACAATCGCAAAACACCGATCGAGTGTTCATCGAAGATCGTCGCCGCGGTGCCCGCGCGCCGCGCGAAACGCCGGGCACGACGCTGAGAAACTCGTTCACAGATGAAAACTGATGTAACAGGTAATAATTGACAGTCTACATTACTCGCTAATTGGCAGCGTCGCTGGATAAACTCCGTCGTCACGTCAGAGCGCGTCCTCGTTCCCGATACAGGGAACGCTGGAGATTGCTTGCGAGTCTCTGGAGGATCGAAGTTGAGGCAACGACGCTAATTAAAATGTACTAATCACTACTGATATGTGCGCGATGCTCTCCTCGGACACAACAAAGATCGCTCGCCGAGTTCCTTCGTCGCGTTCCGTCCGATCGAAGCGTCCACCCTCGCGCGGGCTCTAAAAATGCCGTCGCGACAAGCCACGGAACACCCTGGCGGTCTTCTTTAAATGGTACCTCTCCGAAATGGACCGGATGTTCTATATAAACATTCTAGAAACAATCCTCTTCGCTCTCTTTATTCCAAATATACCACTGTGCGTTGGAATTGGGAATTTAGAAATTATAAAGCTACAAGGAAGAAACGAATTAGTCTCGCGGATAACATAATTCAACTTAAATACGTATTAAATCATTAATTTCATTCATTAGCGTCACCTAAATCATTGTTCAATCTATACGTCCCAGATGTCTAGAAATACTCAAGCATATGATTCGTTAATCACAGAATCGAGAAAATCCACTTCGGTTCGGTAATTCACAGACCGCGTTGCGCGAAGAATATTCCCTCGTTCTGCGCAACAGAGTCGGGTCCGCTGGGCGACAGTTATCCAGGGTGGGTCGCGGTTCTCGAGTAAAGTGTAGGGTACAGCGTCGTACTAGTAACAAGGGAATACTCGTCCAGGGAACGCGACGCCCTTCGATGACGTTACTCTCCCTCCTATCTTCTATTTAAAAAATAAAGTTAGCGGCAGTGCGTAAATTAGGTCAAGTTCGAGGATAGCAAAAGGCGTTCGAAGTTCAACAGAGGCAGAACAGGGGGCGGGGGTTACGGTGTCGGAACAGGAGAGAATGAATATACAACAATCGTAATGCGGGGGGTAAAAGGAAAACGAGGAATTCCTCCTTCACGAGATTGTCGTCTGCCGATCGATGCTCGTTGCGTTCCCGTTTTCGCGTCTATTTCTTTCTCTTTCGTTTCCGGCCTACGTCGTTCGTCTCTCTTTTTTGATATCGCGCCATTTTCTAAACGATCGGTCGCGCACTGTAAAAAAATTGCTTTTGATTTTTGGCTGCTCGGCTCCGGCACCGTGAGCGACACCAGGCACGCTCGTCGTGTCCGTTCCTTCGAAAGGCGAGCGCCGCATATCGCCTGTCCGTCTAATAATACAAAATATTGATCAAACATTATTAATTCTTCGAGCATTATTTTCCCCGGTGTCGGTTCGCGACGCCGGAGGATAGGGAACGGGGCGCAAGGGGATGTGTCAGAGGGTGAACAGTTTCAAAGAGGTCTTGCCGCGGATTAATCTCGTAATCGTTAATCGTATACTCGTGACAACCGAGCCAATTGTTCTGTTCTCTTGGTTTTCCAAACAACACTCAGCGCGCGTTTTCCAAACAACACTCAGTTATGTGTATATATTCATATGCACGCGGTTCCTCCCGCGCTTTCGCCACTGCGACCCTCTCGCTGGATGAAATGGAACGTCTAATAGAGTACAGGTTCTTTAAGATTCTATTCCTCTCCCCGCCAACTGGAAAACAGTGGGCGTGACCTGAAAGTGGGCGTGGCTGGCGCTCGGAGTGGGGCGGATGACCTTGAGATTCGACCGTGTAATGTGGAAATGATTTTTTTCGGGGATTCGTAAACACGTTTAGGTTTTCTATACTTTCACCGTGATCTTTGACATATGAACTTGTGTTTACGAGCGCGATGCTGGGTATCGAGGACTGTTTTTGTACAGGGAACCGCCCACTCTGTCGAGAGTGTTCAATACTCCGTTGGGGGACGTGTAGGTATAACTAATTTCGGCCAGTTAGAGGGTCACGGTGTCTTGAACAGCATCTAAGGTAAAGGGAGTAGATGGCAAGTGGCGGAGCAGACAAGATGCTACTGAGGAGCAGTTAGTGAGAATGAAAATAAAGAAGGTGATTGACAGATACAGAAGAAGGCATAAAGAGAAAGGAGTAGAGAGAAAGTATATAAAATATAAGATACATAAGTATTCAAAAGTATTTGATCAGAAAGAAGACAGACATAATGAACAGAATGAGTAGAAGATGATAAAAGAGTGTATAAACTAAGATCAGAAGCAAAGGATGAGTTAGAAAGAAACAGAGAGTAGTCTTATGAGTATTCAAGAAGAAGAAGAGAATAAATAAAAAATAAAAATAAATAAATAATAGCATAATGAGATCACATGAATAAAGAAAAAGGTCCACTAACTCCCATCAAAATCCATCT